GGCAATGGCCTTTTGCTCACTTGTTTTGATTGAAAGTTTTTGAATAAATTAGAAAGATTACACAATTCTTGATTACGACTGTGAGTATAGGTTTATTGTCCAGATTTGCGAGGATATTTAAAATGGGGTGAGACAAGAATTAGCAAAGGGTAAGAAACAAATTCAATTATTATTAGTAAGAGTCAGATTTATTACAGAAAAGCACAGGAAAACTAAAGTATATCTTTCTTTGGATCAATGGTGTGGGAAATGGAATTGGCTGAAAAATGAACACTGCAGTAAAGATTCCTGAAGACTCCTTCAGCTAAAGATTGTTTTATTCACCTTTGATCTCCATTTCTGGTTATGGCAACAACATAATTCCTAATTCTCTCTTTCTATACCTCTGTTTTTTTAGTTTAGCTATACTAAGCACAGATCTTTAAAATGTTGCATCTCCCATAAGATTCCAAATGTATTTATACTTAGTTTAAAAGTATACTAAAAGTATTTTGTGTGTGTGTGTGTGTGTGTGTGTGTGTGTATTTGTGTGTATGTGTGCTAAGTTATCCTTTGTTTTCTTTTGTGTAGATTCTGTTGTGCAATAATTTTGTTTACATTTTTTAATCTTCAATTTCTTGTGGGTCAATGAATATTTGAATAAATCTTTAAAACACGGAGAATATAGAAAATATTAAACAAGTAATAATTTAAAGGTAGAGTCTCTTTTAGCCCTTTTTTCATATTCAGAAAGAGAGACAAAAGAAAGGTGTACCCTTCATGGCCTTCTTCTTTTTGTTGTCAGTCATAAGGTTCACTATTTCTAACAGGGCTGGGAGAATTCAAATAAACCAAATTTTTCATATTGATCTAAAAATTGAAATATGTGACATTTATTTATTTTATAAATGTGGTATAGAAAGCCTATGTGGCATACTGTAGCTTTTCTTCTAGAAAGAATTCCAATATCATAAAATCTATTCAGAGTAGCTACAGATCTATAACAAAAAAAAAAAAAGAGGTATGCGATGCTGAAATTTAAAAAAAAAGTGTGGGATAATTTTTTGAGTGCTTTCTATTCTTCTGTACTTGGTCCTTGCACATCAGTTGTTATCCAGTAACAATACATTATTGTCACTATGCAAAAGTCAGGTTGCTTATATTGAACTGGAATGAAATTTGGGTTGTTGTTTTTTTCTTTGTAAATAAAACTGCTGCTGAGTGCTGCAATCACAAGAAGATGGCCTAGTGAAGACAAAATGCTTAAATCTTTAAAATCTTTCCCTGCTAGTCACTATTTATTTATTAATCAAACTGATCTCCTGCTGTAATTGTAAATGGATTCTCAGTGGCTTATAAACAAGACAGTAATAGGATCATGACAAATAAAAAAAACATTGTGTCTACAAAGCTCAAAACAATAGCTGTGTTGGTTGTTTCTGGAAGGCAAAATACTGTAACATTGGAGCCAATGAAATCTCCTATGAAAGACCACTCTGGAAAGCTAGCCCCATTGGGGAAGAACAATGTCTCCAAATTCACATACACATACTCACAAACGCATACTCTTCCTGAAAAACAGCTGCACTGATCTTCCAGCAAGATCACTGTGTATATGCCAATTCAAGAGGAGCAAAGTGGCCCTATAGGTAACCCAATGCCAAGCCATAAAGAGCTTTATAGCGTCAAGCCAGTTTTTAAAATTTCATTTGGAACCTCTTTCCACCATGAGCATTTTTCTACTTGTTTTTCTTTCCATGGTGAAAAAAATAAAAGAGCCTGACGCTTTTTGTGGGGTTTGAGTTAGATACAGGCAGAATGGGGAAAAAGGGAAAAGTTAAATAATCTTTTCGCCTACCTTTAGAAATTGTGATTTTATGAGATAGAAATTAAACAATACTTAACAATTATCGATAAGAAAGACAAAAAAAAAGTCTGGATAATGGACATGATCTGGAGACAACAGAAAAGAAAGAACTGGAGAAGATAACAAAATACAAAGGCCTGCAAATAAAAACAGAATGACTGTGGCAAAAGAAAGCAAAGGTGGTATCAATAGTAAAAGCTTGGGTGCAGTCCCAAAACAATTGGAACACCACTTAAACACCATTGGCATTGATAAATTCACCATGAGTCAATTGCAAAAGGCAGCTTTACTTGGAACAGCTTGCATCCTGTGATGATACCTTTAATACTATGAAACATCAACATATGCCTATACCAGGTCCTTGGGAAGGACTTGATTGGTAGATAAAATGCCAAATCCAGTCTGAGCATCTGGCTGATTGTGCAATGTTAAAGTTCTAGAATATATTGAAAACCTGATTATTTTCCTAGACCTTGGAATACAAAATTGCTAAGTCTCTATAGCATTGGTTTTGTTTTGTACAGCATAGTTTTTCTTTTTCTGGATGGACAATTCTTTGTTCTTTCATTTTATGGTTCTAGCTTTTTTAAGAAACAAAGTATCCAGTTCACTGGAAATCTGGCATTTTAAAATCTGTATAAATAAATAAATGGCTAATTATACCAATGACCATAAATGGATCCAGTGATTAAAATTTCTGTTGTTCTTCTTTTAGAAAATACAATTGTAACTGATATTTCAAGATCCTCAAACATATTCCATAAACAACAATTTTATCAACAGTAGCTTTAATGCTCTGATTACTAATTATTTAAAATCCATCTCCAACAGCAACATCATAAACAGTTCGGATTTCTCTGTTGACTAAGTTACTTCTAATAGATTTTGAGCCTACAGCATCAGGAAGAAAAGTAATTGGATATACTGAATTAAAATAATCCCTTCCAAAGGCTGGCAGTATGATACCTCTTATTATCAGTCGTAGCCCATGCTATGCTCTGCTTCCATATGCTATGGAATTTGTAAGATGATTATTGATTGATTGATTTGATTTGAGTTTTATATTGCTTGAAAGCAGCTGTTATTTTGGTAGCAGTTAATAGTTCCCTGTTAAAATTGTTAGGGATCAGCATCAGTTAGATTACATATTTTTAGTTTATGTCCTTACAACAATTGTATTTATAGGTATTCAAATGTAAATACTGAGGATTATTTTAAAAATCCCCAATTTCTATGCAAAGTTATTACTTCGACATAAAACATCATCCAACTTGGTTTTCGTACTATTTATTAGGGAAAGGATCCCTGGGTTTGAATGGAGAGTACCCTTCAAATTGAAAGGTAGAGATTTCCATATTATCTTTAGATCGGTACCTGGAGCTAAGCTATGTAATGTTAGACTTTATTTGTCATGCAGAGTTAACCAATGCATTGTGTGGATAAAACATCTTTTATCTACCCTTGATTTAACTTACTGAAGACTCTTCTTGAGTTATGAAATGAATTGCTTAAAAGTTTGCTCCATTTTTCTGGATGACGATGTTTGCATGCTTTGTTTTCTTTAGCTTTCCCAATATGTTTCAAAGTAAAATGATTCCAAACATCGTTTTATGTGTCTTAGATGTGAATGCTCACACGGAGCTAAATAAAGTTTAATTTGAGAGATGTTTTCTCTGATGGAATGAACGTCAGCATGTCTGAGCAGAAAATGGGCACCCGAATGGGTGCACGGCCATGAACCTCGGACCCACATTATTATCTTTGCAGAGAGCAATTTATTTTCCTGAACTCTCCTGGAATTACTTATACCTTCAGAGCAAGCCTCAAGAGTCTATCACCTAATCGTGTTTGTTATCCCTTAGCAGCAAATGTACTAAGTCTTTCTTAATATTTCTTATCAGTTCTTGGTATACCGTCAGTTCTTAAGGGTAAAGTCTCATTTGATTCAATTTAGATTCATGGTGACTTTATGCATATGTTCATACAATTTTCTTGGCAACAGTAAATAATTGAATTATTTCACCCTCCTTAACTTTTTGAGATCAACCAAGGTCAGCTAAGCACTGCCACCTAGCAGGGCAATCAATTCTTACTGCTACAAATAGCTCCACTGTGTCCATTTACTCCTAAGAATTTGCATTTCATTCTGGGTATGCTATTTAGGAAGATTTGTTTTGGGTGAAGGGAAAGTGTCAAAACAAAATTCTGAATTTAGTTAACGGCCATCTTGAAATTTTCTCTACTTTTATTATTATTATTATTATTATAAAATTGGCCTTTATTCAAAGATACCTCAATAGGGTAGAAAACAGGAATACAACTTTTGTGAGTATGATGGTAGATCATGATATTAGGATACTCCTTTTTTTAACTATTTACATTGAGTTATGTTAAAGCAGTGATTCTCAACCTTTCTAATGCCGTGACCCCATAATACAGTTCCCCATGTTGTGGTGACCCCCAAGTGGGTGTGGCCACCAATAAGAGAGAGTAGGACAGCTAGGGAAAAGGGAAAAAATGGCGGACAGCATGGTTTGGTGACCCCCATGAAATGGTCATTCGACCCCAAATGGGGTCCTGACCCACAGGTTGAGAATCACTGTGTTAAAGCCTCTCACAAATTATGTATAAACAGGTTTTGCTTTAACATTGAGCAGAGGAGTGGGCAATCTGTCAATTTTTGTCCTCACCAAATTGTCCAAATTGTTAATTGAACATAGAGCAAGTTTTCTTTAGGTGCCGTTTAAGAACTTGCCAGAAAAACAACTGAAGAGTCATTAAGTTTGCTTATACCTGTGATGAAGATCAGAAGTCACTTTTTAAAATATTTTTTTTCTTTTACCTTATTTTTCCCTTTCCCTTTTTCTTGCACTTTTTATTCTTTCTATTTCTCTTTTTTCTCACTGGGTTTATTTTGCACTTGCTTTTAGGATTGCAATCAATAAAAACTATTAAAAACATGAGTTTTCCAGAACTCGTTTTTTTATGGTTAAAAAGAATTCAGTAATTAACAGTGCAAACCGAAACCAAGCCACCTCTCTTGTGACACAGGACACAGAAATGAAAGACAAACTGAAATGTAATTGTTCTTTTTCTGTAAAAGCTGTCTGAATGAATAATATGAACCTGTTAGGCAAAAAAGCATATTTCTTACATTAGCAGAGGAGTTGCTGATCTCTACTTTAGATGCAGCAGCCTGGTACAAAGCCATTCTTTCTTTTAAGGAGAAGACTTCCTGGTTCTCCAGAGGCACGTGGTCACTTTCTTTAATGCCTCCTGAAAGACCACCAGCAGTCTTCTTATCACCCGTAGAACCTTGAAACAACAATAGAACATGGTCAAATTTTCTGAACATATATGATAATTGCTTACTTTACAGGTACATATCAAATATTTTCTATTTTTTTCTAGAGGTCATTCAAGCAGCATTGCACCAATGAAGTATGATTTTGCTATTAAATGCATATACAAGTTCTCTGAGTGGAAAATTTAAAAAGAAACAGAAAAATAGCACAGTGGACAATCGCAAGTGACTGATTATATTTTTATATGTGCACACACGCACACAAAATCGCCACCTAGAACGGAGGGTTACAATTCAGAATCCATCAATATTCAAGTCAGCAAAAAGGTAGCCAGCTGTCAGGTTGTGTTTCTTTTTTCCAGCAGCTTTTTATAGTTAACTCAGCATTCATTTCTAAATAATTTAAATTTATCCCATACTTTTTAAAAGGGTTTTGCCTCACATCTTTTTCCATAACTTCTGTTCTCAGCTCTCTCCCCCTTTTTCACCATTTTTCTTGTTGAAGAGAGGCGTTATTATATAAGGTTACTGTTGAAAGAAAAATCTTCAGGTCCAGTCCAAGCCAGGAATAAGAAAATGGAGACTGCTTTAGGAAAGAAGGTCCAGTTTACTGAGTTGCAGAACCACAACAGCATATGGTTCTGGGACAACTGACCAACTGATTTGATGAGTACAAGGATTTTTATACAATTGTACAGCATTTCGTAAATTGGGGGCTTGTTTTGTGTACTTTTGTTATTAGATTTGTTTAGCTTGTTTCACAAAGATTAGCAATGGGACTAAAATACTTACTTCCTTGGTCCTAATCCTGCCAAACAAAAGTAATTAATTTTACCCCTTTATCTTTAGTCTGTCTATTACCTCCATTGAGCTCTCTTTGTAAATCAATAGGCCTGGTTCAATCTTTCTGCTTTTCACAATAGCCAGGGATTTCATGAGTGAAATGTTGCTTCTGTATTTCTTTTCCTGAGCTTTATTGTTGTGATTTGGGAGGGCATAGTAAAAAAGGTGTGTGTGTGTGTGTGTGTGTGTGTGTGTGTGTGTGTGTGTGTGCATTCTTACCTCATTACTTTTCTTGAATTTTTGTAGTATGCAAAAATAAGGTGATTTCCCTAACAAGCTGATACTTTCTTCTTTTTTTTCTATTAGTACCACAGGACATTCAAAGGAATGACTTCATGATACATGACACAGTTAAATTTCTACTACTCGACAAAAGGGTAGAGTCAGAGTTATCTCAAATAACTCTATGGTAAACACCTATTAATAAATAATGGAAATGTTGTTGCACATCTATCTCCCTTCCATTCATCCTCACCAAACTGTTTTGGGGTATGCTGGGAACCCTTCAGATTTCATTTGCTTACCACACATTTTTGTCTTTACCCCACTGTAATGAAAGCTTTACAATAATTTGACCTTATTTGAAAAACTGAAAGATGGAATCATTCTGCAAGAGCTGTATCCTCCAGAGGCCAGAGCTTATTATTTTAATACTGTAAATGGCTTTTAAAAATGTAAAATGTATGTTATTTTCTCGGTTAACATTATAACCGGTCGGCCATTTTCCTTAGCCTAACAATTAATAAAACAATTCCTGTCATTTTTCTGTCATGACATTTTTTATTGGTAGTTTAATGAACTTCTTAAACGTTTTATTAACTTCTCAGCTGTGCTAAGATATAACCTTTCCAGCAAGAGTGATCCGAAAAATCAACATCTGCACATAAGACAAAACCCCATTTTTATATGACTGATATTTTTCTATGTTCATTAACATGGTCCTTTTCTTCAGATTAAAATATATATAAAAGAATCCCTAAGTAAAAAAACAAGTTTAGAATCAGGCTTAGTTTGAAACTCCAGCTGTGCTACAAAGAATAAATCCTCTTTTCATACGGTTCCCATTCATTTCTTTAAGGCTTACCATATTGAACGGCCATCATGATTTGTGCCCGACATTCATTTGCTCTGTTCTTTTGTTCTGAATGTTGTTCCTTCCATCCTCAAACTATTTCTATCACAGCTGGGAATGGGCTGCTTAGAAATTATTTTTAGTTCTCCATGGCTTATAACATTCATGAGATTACTAAAGTCCTGAGTAATTTTCAACTTCACTTAACTCTGACTTTCAGGAGTTATGAACCAAAACCTTCTCCATAAAACACAAACTGATTACCCTTGCAAGAGCTAGAGAAATCTTCCAGTTCAAGATACCCACCATTTTAAGAACCAAATGCTGAGGGTGCTTTTATGAATAGGCTTTTTGAACCTGGCACCCACCAATGTGAGGTGAACCCAGCATCCCGAATTCTCTGACAGAAGGCTGCACTCTGACAAGGTCTGGAAGATGCCTCTGCAGCTGTCAGTTTGGCATACCAAACATGGAATTTCACAAAGTAATATGACTGAAACTAATGAGCATGAAAAGGTCTGATTTGGTTCACATTAAACATAGATTGAAAAGCTGAAAAACCTGAGAGACATTGATATAGGCAGTGTATGTAGTTCTCCACTCTCTGCATGACTTCTGCTTTCTTCACAGCTTGTTTGATTATCAACCAGTGAGGTTGACCATCTATTAGACCAAGGAAGCTGTATCAGATGGAAAATGATTTGGGGCAGGATTGACAGGAAAGTGTTAAAGCTTTATGGTGGTCTCTATGGTCTGCCTATTAATCCTGCAAGTTTGCTCTCAGGACACCTTCCCATCTTTAAAGTTATGGAGGACCCCAAAAGAGTTTTTGTGTGTAAGGAGAATATTTATCAATATTGACTGCATTAAAAATCGCAGTGGATGCATCCATAGAATATTTATTGAATCGTGTAAAAATGACAATATTAAATCTAGTAGAGAACAACATAAATAAAATATTTTTACTTTATTTATTAAAATAAAAAATAAAAATAAAACAACGAGAAGGGTATCATTGTTTTAAATCCTTGCAAATAACTTCAATATCTGGCCAATCATTTTGATTTCAAGGACCCTTGAGAGGGTCTTGGGATGGGGGGCAGGGCCCTGGACCACATTTGATGAAACACTGCTCTAAGCCACCTATTGCATGAATAGACTGAAGCATAATTCAGCCCCCACAGGTTGCTATTATCTCTGTAGTCTGCTCTTGCTGAAAGTACTACATATCCAGTAATAAATCTAGTCACAATTTCACAACATCACTGCTACTAACTACCCACTATGAAAATTTAGCATAAATGTATCAAATATTACTTTGTAATATTTTTTTTCATTTCATACTAATTTTTATAGTAGCTGGATTCTGTTTTTTTTTTTTTTCTAGTCCTCTTTTTGCATAAATCAGCATCAGGATACAGTATATCTGCTACATAATCAAAGATTGGCTTGATATAAAATGTTTCTATAAGGAATTAGGATTTGAGTGCTTTTTAACATACATACCTGAAAGAGGAGTTTTTGTTAAGGCTGTGAGCTTAATTAGACTAGTGGCTGAAATATATATTTTTGACAAGTGAGCATGGTACACAAATGAATGTAGATGTTAAAATAAGAGAGGAAATACTGAGCTTAAGGACAGGTCTCAGAGATTTCTCAGGGAACAAAGAATAATGTGCTAATTTTACTTGGGGAAGCAGTCACATAGGATGTAAGCTCCATCATCCTCACTTCAACAGGGAATATAGGAAATGTCATATCCAAAAGAAAAGAAGGCTATATATCTTATACACAATAAGGGAACTTGATTTTCAAATGTGGCATGATGGATGTCATTTATTTTTTTGATTAGTGCATTCTTTTTCTTAAAGATAGAGGATGTATGGATTCCACCCCTGTGGATCTTCAGCCACAGCCAGTATAGAATTTGTACAGTAAATCTAGGAACAATTCAATAAGTGGAACAGAACAATTTGTGTAAACTGTCTCTTGGGATCTTTTTATGTGAACAGAACATAAACAAAATGCACACAGTGTATTTCCTTAAACATTCTTTTGATATATTCATCTGTGGTAAGGTGAACTCTTAGATTTGTCTCATTGTTTCTCTATATATGAAAATATCAGGCAATTCCAGATGACACGGATGAATAAAAACATTCTAAGGTGTAAATACATGAAAACAGTTCTTACTTCAGTTCATACATATATACATTTCCAAATCGGAATGGTCACTGCATAGTACTTGTTATAATACTTGTTACAAATTTCTTTTTATATAATTAGATGTTGTATAGATCCTCAGCATTTTCCAAATTGGGCCTGACTGAACATCAGGGTAAAATTTCCTAATGGAAACAAGACTTTGGCAATGGAACCAACTGCCAAAAGAGATGGTCTCCTCTGCTGGATATGTTTGAGCAGAGGCTGGTTATTCCTCTGTTGGGAATGTATGGAGGTTAGACTCAATGGAACAGTCTCTGTCAATTCTTTAGTTCAGTAATTTTATGTGCCATATTTTAAACACCTGAAAAATTTCTTGTGGAGTTAGAAGCTCAAGAGTTAGCTGGGTAATTCAAATCAAAGTTCTAATTTAGTCTCATAACCATAACTATTGCTTTGTGACCATCAGCTTCTTACGATTCCTATGGGTACTTATTGTAAGAGGGAAAAACTGTAGTTCATATCTCTAGATCAGTGGTGGTGAACCTATGGCACACGTACCAGAAGTGACACTCAGAGCCCTCTCTGTGGGCATGTGCACTATTGCCCCAGCCCCGCCTCTCCCCATGGGAGGAGATTTGCCCCTGAGCGCAGCCTGCGTGGAGCAGCACAGCCAAAGACATGGCAGCTGGGCAGTGGGGAGAAGACTCCGCCCTCATGCCCCGTCATGTGCAGTTGATGCTACGGGGCGGAGGGTGTGGCTGCCATGGCACTGCTGGGCCACCTGGGCAATTTGCAGCGGGCCCTGGAGGCGGTGGGTGGCCGGGTGGGAGGGGCAGGGGGGGAGTTTTTGGGCACTTGGTCTCTAAAAGGTTTGCCATCACTGCTCTAGATCCACCTCAGTGTCATACAGTTCCTCTAACCTCTGCTATT